TGTGAGTTTCGGTCAACTAATAACCTCAATCAATAAGTAGAACATAGCGTCCTACATTAATGTTTGCTTTCTTGATCGCCGTTTTTATAGCATCAAGTAGATCACATGTATAGTGATCTGAATAATAATAATCTCAGTTCCTAAAGGAAAAACTGTGTTGAAATTTCACCTCCTCGAACTGTGTAAATTTCAAATCGTGAGTTGACGACTTGCAACTGCAAATTTGATTTTAAAAATACTTACTATTGAATGTAAACAACCATTGAAATATAATTACAATTAACTGATCTATTCCACAGAGTAGAAATTTTCCATAGACATTAATCTTTGTGCCATTAGCTAAGTTAACCTTTTTATATTGAGAATTACAAAAGTATCATGGGCAATTTAAATTAGCAGCCTATTCCATTAGATGTTGATCAAGGCTGGAGACTAACTGAACCCACCCGTTCAACCGTGTTTTCAGCTCATTATTCTGTGAATTGGAATTAGAATAATGTCCGTGAAGTTTCTTAATTGTTACACATGAAATTTCCACAACTGGTGTAATCATAGGCATTGGTTTTTCCTCAAAAGATGTTACCAAGATACATTTATGAAAATTCGAATTTGAATTATACTATGGTTAGTCCCTACAGTGTAACCGTCCAACATCACCGCATTGAACTGGACATGTTACAAATAGTAGTATTAACATGAGTGTATTTCACTTGTCTTGAAAACCTCGAATACCATGTTTAATGTCAATTAGCATTAATAAAGCATTATTTAACATATAAATATATCTATATGCTTAAGGTCATTTTAACTTCTGTCAATCTAATAATATTTTCATAATTTACTTTATTAATGATCCTGAAGCTGCAGAGTCAACTAGTTAATTGTTTAAAGTGGATTTTAAGTTCTGGAAACAAGTTCAGTTAACTGTCATGTGCAAGAGAAAAACAAGGAGAGTAATAGAAAATCAGGGGACAAGATTAAATTACTTCAGTGTTAATTATTCAAGTCGATACTATTGGCTTCTAACAATGAAACTACAATAAGCCTGAGAAGTGTTCTACTCTAAAAATTCTAAAGTTATTTCCCTGAAGACAAAAATAGGATAAATGAATGAGAACGATAAAACGAAAGCTTTGAGGTTATGTAGTTATACAATTGATAAGATTATGAACAATAAATTCCGTCCTAAAGATCATCCAGTGAATAATGAGGTTTCACTGTGTGATATATCAAACCAACTAATTAATATAAAATTATTTCTGGTTCACTTACGTAATTTCTACTCATATAACGCATACGTGCTTTTAATTGATTGATTTTTATGGGCATTTAACAGAGTTACAGAATAACAAGAGAATATCATGTCAATATAGCCTTACTTTCAGAAAGAACTCAAGAAATATAAGCCTATGTAAAAAAGGGCACCCACAAACAACGCAGATCTCGAGAAGAAAAAAGAGTTTTACAGACAACTACAGGCAACAATGGACAATATTCCAGTTGGTGACATTAAAATACTTATGGGAGACAAGAACGCCGAACTGGGACCAGACAACACAGGAAGGGAACTCATCATGGGTAGAGAAGCGCAGCCTGCTGGACACAAAAGTAAGAAGAGGAGCAGACATTGGTTCAGACCACTACCTCGTACAAGGGAAAATCCAAATCAAATTAAAAGCTTTCACATAAACAGGAGCTACAGATAGACCACAAGCCAACAAGTCGACAGCACTCAGCATCAAAAATAAGATCCGGATTTTCAACTCCAATGTGAAGTCAGTGCTACTATACGGATCAGAGACTTGCACTGCGTGTCATAAAGAGCATCTCAAACAAACTACAGAGCTTCATTAACAGTTGTCTTCGCTCAGTACTCAAGATCAGATGGCCGGCCAGAAAAGATCAGCAACAGAGAGGGATCTCTGGCAATGAGCGAACCAACCCAGCAGGAACCGATTGTGAAACAAATAGGCAGGAAGAAATGAAGATGAACCGGATTGGCCATACTCTGAGGAAACCATCAACTGACATCACTAGACTAGCCCTCGAGTGGAACCCGAAAGGGAAGCGACGAGTTGGTCGACAGTGTGAGGGTGACTTGGAGGAGGTCATGTGAAGAGGAGATGAAAACGTGTGGGCAGACTTGGAGCCAGGTGAAGACTCTAGCAGAGAACCGAACGCAATGGAGACGCATGGCTGAAGCCCTATGTTCCTGTAGGAATTAAAGGAAACAATAATAATAATAATAATATGTAAGAAAAGGTGGAACTGATGCGTCGATCCTTCTTGCTGAGACATAGCTGAGACAGTTCTTGGGACTGTATCTAAGTTTTTATAATATGCGTTGACACAACAGATTACGAAACAATCCAGACTGAAAACTTACGAAATCTAAATGGTAGCCTGGATTATAAATTAAACTTAACAATAACTATGATAGGGCCGTTGGGGATTTGTCATGCTGGTGAGACATCTGATAAATGTGTTTAGTAGTATTATAGTGGTGTGATACAGACAATGTGTGCCAACGGAATGTTATTCTCACTTGTTCACACAGTTCAATACGACATTAACAACACAATACAATATATCCATTTGAACATTCTATTCGGTGTTAGAGTCGCAACGTTATTCCCACAGTTCAATACTGCATACAATATATCCATTTGAACATTCTATTTCATGTTAGAGACAGAATACATTTCCCACGGCTATATACTAACTGCACTGGCAATAGAATACTATGTATATTTGAACGTTCTATTTCATGTCGTTCAACGTAAACCGAAATCACAAGCTCAGTGATTGGTTAAAGAGTATAAGGTGTAGATATGTGAACAGCAGTTTGATTATTGAAAAATATACCTTGACTTCCGTTTCTTGCCTTCTACTGCTACAGTATAATAGGTCAGTCTCACTTGATTTATGTTTATGGGGCTTGACCACTAAAGCTGAAATAAGTGAGCAAAGGTGTTTTGGTAAAACTGCTTGTGTGTCATCAAGGTACCACGTAGTGAATATAATCAACCTTAGGCAAACAGTAATATGCAATAAGCATTACATATCAGTGTAGTTGTCAATCTTTTGTAAATGAAATACCTAGAAAGTACTTTACATTAAAATAAAACCAGGCAGTTCAGAAAAGAGACTCTCTTCGGCAAATTTGTTCTCTTCACTGGACTGTTTGTCTTTTTTTCCATGTCTGTATGTATAATTGAGACATTAATCCGAGCCACTTTGTTTGGTAACAAACAATATTAACTAAGATGGAGAAAGTGTGACACCAGTCTGAGTGAGGCTTTTCACATTCTGTTCAGCTATTCTGTCAACTGAAACGAGCATCGATTTTATTTACATTTCATTGTAATTTCTGGTTACAACCTGACAAACTAAGCACATTTCTCGGGACAAAATATGAGTCACGTTTCCTGATCAAATTTCCTATTAAAATAACACTATTCATTTGTGTAAACAAGTTTGAATCAAATCCAGTTTTACGGCAATCGAAGAGAAAAAACATCAACACAGCAGCAAAAGTAACCTTAAATGTGTATTTCTCCTACTAACAAAATAATGGTAGAATTTCGAACAGTTCACTCTTAACTTTTCTTCTGACCTATTCGTAAGATGGATAGGGAAAAAGAAGCAACCAAATAAATTGGAAATAAAATTTATAGTTGCAGCAAACCATTATGCATAAAGTTAAACGTCAAAATATTGACGTAAAAAGTGAAGGAAGGAACAAATAAGCAATTACATCAATGAATACTGTGTTATCCCTTTCAGGTCAAAACCATTTTCTATCCGTAAAGTTCATATGGAGATAATAGGAGTGTTAACAATAAAAAAGTGATATAACAGAAGCAATAAAATAGTTATACATCAATGAGTAATGAGTGTGTGCAATTGATTCTGAAGTGCAACATGGTCAGCAATTTGTATATATATACATATATATTCTATAATTCTAGCCAGATATCATAACAACTGACCATCATCTAGGAGAATCATTAAATACCGGCTATTCTTCACTCTTTCAGGACCAAGCAGCAGTGGTCACCTCAGACCTCACCAAGAATGAAGCCAAGGATAGTCAGACTCCTAGACAAGCAAGTTACTACTTGACCATTTATCTGAAGGAACGTAGTGATATGTGGTTTCCACAATATAGCACTGTCATCATTCAGTGTTTTTATAAGTTCACTTTTTGGACCCCAGTCTTCATGATATCCCACCAGAACCTTTAGAAATACACTTGGAAAATAGTGACTGACGAATAAGATCTCTCAAAAAGAGGTCTTTCAGTTTATATGTTAGGACAGTTACTCACAAGTGAAATCGGCCAATGAGATCTTTGTAATAAAACTAAATAACTCATATGAAGTAGTGACAATGAAATCACCGAAAGAAATTACTAGTATTCTCTATCAATTTCAAAAACTTATCTGTAATGTGAAACTGATACTTTTCTCGAAATTCAAATATGCCTCTTACATAACTTAAACTCTGCAAAGCTTATTTTGATGAGACTCCAACCTTCCACAATCGAACAAGGCCTAGTGTACTCGCTGACTTGCATAACTAGTTTTGTACAAAACTAACAACTCAAGTAAGATAAAGATTTGCATCTGCTGGCCATTCTTCACATTTAGTATATTCCCGCTGAGTGTCGCCATCAGCTTCCTTGGAAAATCAAATGGTTTTCAAAGGCAGAAGAGTTTCTTAGAATTTCTTTCGTTCAGATCAATCTTAATTAATGATATGAAAATACTTCAGGCTTTTAAATTGTACTTGCTAGAGATTCATATGGGTGCATACGTCTTTCTAATAAACAAAGAGAGATGCACAAAGTGGATAAAAATTCTACTTTTTAATGACATTTTTCTTTTTAACATTTAACGAAGAAAACTTTTATTGTTGAAAACATTCAATGTTCAAAATTACATCAGAGTTATGGTGTTTAAGAATAAATGAATTTGAATTAGATTGTTTCTACTCACCCTCTGTTTCTGCGATCAAGTTCACAAAACCAGTAACTGATGACTCCTCCATTGACTCTTTCATGAGGTGAATTTTGTGATACCAGTTTACTTGTTGTACTTCTTGCTTTGGTATCCATCGGACGAAGTAGACTGTCGTCGTCATTTGACCAAGATGAAGAAGACCACTAGTTGGTTGATAAAAAAAGCCTTTTTAAAAGTAGTTTCAAATAAAAACTAACTTCTCAGTAAAAGTTATTCTACTGTAAATGTCACAGTTGTCTAATGTGACTGGTCCTCTGATTTTATCATCATCAAAATGTACACTAATTGCAAATGGTAGCAGAAGGGTACGTAGGGATTTCCCATCCAAATTAGTCAACTTGTAACAAACAATATTAACTAAGATGGAGAAAGTGTGACACCAGTCTGAGTGAGGCTTCTCACATTCTGTTCAGCTATTCTGTCAACTGAAATGAGCATCGATTTTATTTACAGTTTCATCGTAATTTCTGGTTACAACCTGACAAACTGCGCACATCTTCAGATGTTGTCCAGAAGGACGACAAAAGCTCCGCAACTAAACCAATCAGCTCAGAGAACACTATTAATTGCGGATCATCCACCTGAGCTACAAATCTTCTCTATTATTTTAGAAATCACATATTGTAATATGAAATAAGTAATACAGCCACTTTCTTTTTGCAACAGAAACGTCAAAAGACGCCAGTGAAATAACAGTTTATTAGATTGCTTTAAGGACAGTACAATATTCTTTGAAAGCTCACATTCACACAACACACGCATACAGACCACCAGTCGTTTCCTTAAAGTATAGTTTTTTCATTCCTTGCTTTTCCACTGGAAAGTGCGGTTTGAATCTCTGAAGTTTCAGTAGCAGTGGTCACGTCAAACTTTCTCTCTTTTCAAGCTCTCTGAAAGTCAGGTGAGGTTTAAGAGTGCATCGGCCTGGAAAAGAACCCGGACTACTTGTGTGGCTGGTTAACAGTCTCGCAGTGAACCAGTGATGCAGCCTTAAGGCAAATATTCCACTTTGGTGCTTCAATAAAATAAGTCAGTGTTACAATGAACTTAGTGTTTGCCGACAAGTGTATTCACAGAATAAATGCATAATGAAGCAACCTGCCAACAATAAGAGTGATAATAACAGCTGAATTGTCACATGAAGAATGATATCAATACAGAGATTTCCTACTACCACTGAAGATAACCACATCCCTAAATCTGTAGCCTTTGGTGTACAAAATTGTCGGTAAAGGTAATAAAATATGAGATTCGACTGATTTCTGTAAATCTTGATGACTGAGTAAAATATTAGACTTATTTATGTATTCTGTGTAGGTGTCCGAAAAGTTGATTGCTGATAAATAAATAAACGAATTACTAAAATTTGTGAACAGAGCGATTTGTTCTCAAGGTAAATTCCATTGTGCAGTAGTAAGCTGCATCGAAATTTGGAGCAAGATAAGTAGTCTTGAATATCTTCAACGAAAAGAAACGGTGACACACACCTTAGAAGTTCAGAGCATTGGAATGAAGACAAACTTGCCCTATCAGCTAGCATTCTGATGTATCCTTTAGAAGAAAATCATTAAATATCGGTTCATAAACTGAAATTAAAGTTGGAGGTTGAAAGCAACGCCAATGTTTTTAGTTATTTTGCACTCAAAGTAGGTGCAGCATCTAAGATAACAGATATGATATCTGAACAAACAATAGGAAGAAATTCTATTGGCAACAGTGTATGACGCCACATACTGATGTAACCCATTCATTTTAAGATAATTATTCTACTTCCACATTCTGTAATGATGTTTTTAAATGTATATGCATTTGTGATGAGAAATGTATTTAGAATAACGAAACAAAAGCTGTCACTTTGCACTCTCTAAGCTTTCTGTGCGATTTATTACCGAAGGAAATTAGGGTTCTGAAAATTACAGTAACCAGATATAACTTTTATACGATTCTGGAGCTATTGAAATAGTAAATGGTCAGAATTCTCTTAATTTATTTAGCCTGATGAAGGCGTTTTGAAATAAATTCAACTTAACAATTCAGTTTGCCACAATTATATAAAGAAAGCAAGCGAAATCACAAGATGCTGTGTCCAACTGATTATCGTACTAGTAGTCAGAAACTACTCACTAAAATCAGTAGTTCTTGTTTGCTAGAATGCCGTGATCTTAAATTCAGGTGGGCGTTTAACTCGTTTGGGGTCGAGGATTATTTTTTCACAGGGAATCGTGGCTAATTTTCACGTCTATTTATGTAATTTGCAGTGACGAATTGTATTCTGTATTCCCAGGTTTTCCAATGGTTCTCTAACTAATGTCAGCTCATGATGAAAATCCTGTAACCAATCAAATCCCTACAAACCAACACTTGAATTAAAAATTTGTCAGAATTTGGATGGTTTAAACTGATAAAACTGTCTGAAATCACTTTACCTGAACATATAGGAGTCAAAAGAGTGAAATGTCTGTCCCCTCTTTAGTTCACCTCGTACTGGCGAGAAAGCACAACTGGTTACCATGATTGTTTGTCAACTACTCATTTCTGTCAGTAGTACGTACCATCTGATAGCAATAATATGTTATACCTCAAATGAATAATACTTTATTAGACTCTTTATTAAACCTAAATTGAATGAGTCACTTTCAGTTTCATTGGTTTCAATAACTTTACCTATAATGTATCTCCGTAGTCCTCAGTGACCAGTAGGATGCAGCAGTTCGGGTGTGGGGACAAATACACGCCGAAGACATTGGCTAGGGGTCGCGATATGTCATGAATTGGTAGAAGCTGGAATTCATGGGCCATCGGATTGAGTCACAGTGGCGTAGTGGTCTACGAGGTCCCTCGCCTTGTAACCAGAATGTCCTGGGTCCGAACCCCAGTGGGTGCGTTCTGTGAAGAGTCCCGAACTAGGACAAAACAGCTGTCCAGTACTCCCAGGTTTTCCAATGGTTCTCTAACTGATATCAGCTCATGATGAAATCCTGTTACTAAAAAGGAATCCGTTTCATTCTGAAGACTGTAGTGTTTTTTCTTCCAAATTAGGGAAAAAAGTACGCGATGTCACACTTTCCTTCGTTTCTATTTGCATCCGGATGACATTTTGATTGATTAAATTATTTATCTCATTGCGTAACTCTGAAACTCTTATACAAATTCCCTCATGTATTGCTTCATGTCATTAACTGTGATTATGACAGCCCATCACTTTTGTTAGTATCCCCTTTTGGGAAAAAACAGTTGTATACAAAAGCTATTCTGTAGCTGAAGAGGCAAATAAATTCGCTGAAAAGAGTCTCTTCAGTGAACTACTAGTTTTAATTTCTCATCATTACATGGAAGAGCATTTTTCATGAATCTTTTCAAAATTGTCTAGGCTACCTTCTATCTACCGATTATTTAAAAGCAGTTCACATGACACAACATCACAGGAAATAATTAGTTGTGAATGTTTTACTAGCCAAAAATTACGTTGAATTTCAGATGCTGATATTTATTTGGCATGACGCTCCAAATAATAAACTTGTGACAACAGGCAATGATAAGGCATAGCTTAAATATCCCCAGTTTGAATGAACATCGTTTGGACACAAGTGAAAACGAAGAATGCTTGATACAATAGGCCACATATTATATCAGCATGAAATCAAGAAAACGAAATTTCACATGTTTAATTAACTCTGAAGCCTTTAGCCTAGATATGACTATGAAGCAAGATTTCATGTCACAGAACATCAAGCTCTCTGAAGCCGGTCGAATGAAGACCTCCTACGAAGAATGTGAATTTTTTATTATTTAATGTCGGATAACTGAATAATTTTTTACTGTTGTGGTAACGTGAACATAGCAACACTACAAAAAGCGTCCTTGTTAGGGTATGGCATAAAACCACTCGTGACAATGGCCACAGTGTACTTGTGATCTCGAAAAGTTCGTCGTTTTACCTTATATTCATGTGACTGACAACGAATGAAGTGGAGTAAAACTTTGACTGCAGTTAATCCCGTAGCTATGTTTACCTTAAGGATTTTGAACAGTGACAATAATTTGGTAAAATATGGTGAAAAATAATGAAAATATTTCATTCTAAAGATTCACTAACAGAAAGCAGAAAAAAATATATAAATATGATTACCTTTTGACGTAGTAACTCCTGAAACCACATTCCAAGTCGAAGAGCGAATGTGCTTTCATTTTGATCCCAGTCACACAGACCACTAAGATCTAGAGAATATCAAGTCAATTCATGCATCATTAAACTTCGAATATAAAATAAACGGTAACTTGGCATAGAATTACGGTTAAATGTTAACTTCATATAACCACACACCATCTTATTACTTTGGTACAGTCATTTTGTTTTCCCCAGTGAAAGTCCAGTTGCTTTCACGTTTTACACAAAATTCAGTCAGCTGGGTATTTTTTCTGTAGCCTAACGAGCTTAGTGTTTTAGACTCAGCACACCTCCTTTCCATTTAGTGCTCCACTATCTCCGTCGTCAAACAAATGATGAGGCTTTTTGTTATACTTTCAGTCTGTGTTACTTCAAAGACAGTCTAGGATATTCAAGTATTGGTTTGTAGCGATTTGGTTGATTGGTTACAGGATTTCATCATCAGCTGACATTGGTTAGAGAACCATTGGAAAACCAGGGAGTACTGGACAGCTGTTTCGCCCTAGTTTGGGACTCTTCATCAGTACGCACCCAAACGAGTTCGAACCATATCCCCACAAACCAATACTTGAATATCAATGAGATGCTCACTGGCAACTGGACCTATTCAGGTAGGTAGTTACCTGGGGTTCTAGTGAGAAGTCGTGACCAGTAGGGTGCAGCAGGTCGAGTGTGAGGACAAATACTCGCCGAAGAAATTGGCTAGCGGTTGCGCTATATCGTGAATTGGTAGAAACTGGAATTCATGGGCCATTGGATCGGGTCCCAGTGGCTTAATGGTATTCGAGCTTGCCTTGTAACCAGAAGGTCCTGGGTTCGAATCCGGGTGGGTGCGTACTACTGAAGAGTCCCAAACTAGGCTGAGGAAACAGCTGTCCAGTACTCCTAGGTTTTCCAGTGGTTCTCTAACCAATGTCAGCTCATGGTGAAATCCTGTATACAGTCTAGGATACTTTCTACGCCAACTTATGGTACTAGTCAATCGGATTTCAGTGAGCGTTAGACTGAGTGAAACTTTCCAACTGAAACGACTGACTCTCAGTTGAACTGCTCACTGCGCGCGTGTATATCAACAACCAATTTTTCTGGCCAGTTTAATTACCAGTAAAGAGAATGTAACCAAGTCAAATGAAGTGTTCATTATTTACAAATAATGATTATTATTTATTCATTTCTAAAAATTCCAGATGACACTGAAGTTAGTAATCAATCATTCATGATTTGTCCATCAAAAGTGAAAACAAAATGAAGGGAGGGACATATGGACAGAGTGGAAATAAGATATATTTTTGTTGAAAAGACATTATTTATGTGCATCAAAATACTACTTAAATATATATACATATATCATTAATGATTTATTTAGAAAGATGTCAACGAAAAGACAGTTTTGTACCTTTCTGAGATGGACAGGACAAGAATGTCATCGAATAATTTAACAGTGGCAACATAACTGACAACAGGAACTCTGTGTGAGTGTATGTGCGTAAGAGAGGGACAGCGTTGTGTGCGATCTCATATTGTAAGAGTTAATAATATATATATGTTGTTACTGTTGTTGTTGTTCTGTCCCCCCCTACCCCTTGTCCAGAATTAAATATGAACATAAATAATGAACAGTCTTTTGTCTTGTAAAGAAACAAAAACAAAACAAAAACTGGGAAGCTGAGTTCTGTTCTAATGAATAACACTGTGAAACGCAAACTAACTAATGAAAGCAATTTACACGGAGAGAATTGATGAATTTATCCTGAGACGAAATATCGGATGTATTATGGATTGTGCAAAGTCACTGTGATGGTTATCCCGTAAAGCTGTACATTATTATTGTTCCCTTGGGTTCCTAGTGGAACATAGGGCTTCAAATACACGTCTCCGCTTGCTTCTGTCTTCTGCTGTACTTTTCACCTGCATCTATGTTAATCCATACTGTTTCAACTCCTCTCCACACGATCTCCTCCATGTCACCCTTGGACGTCCCACTCGCCGCTTCCCTTTCGGGTTCCACTCGAGCTATGGGCTGACGCGCGATGTCACCCAGCGGCCTCCTCAGCGAGTGTCCAATCCATCTCCACTTTCTCCTGCATATTTGTTGGGCGATTGTTTTGTTTGTTCCCATAGTTTCTTGTTGGTGATTCAAGAGTTTCAAACAGTATGCTACTCAGAGTCGGCAGCAGGCAAAGTCACTTGACTATTTATTAATATCATCAAATCTATTAATACCACCTAATTATTAAAGTGGATGGTGTTTTACAACAGTCAGACGAAGAGACTGCAAGTAAGAAGGGGATAGTTATGGGGAAGAAACGAAGGTGATTGAGACTTTATGCCTTCAAGGTAATCTCTTGAGTTAAAAAAATATTCCGGTTGTCTTGTTTCACTTTTTTATTATTATATTCTATGGTCTGTTCAATATCTTTGTCACCAGAGCACCATTTACTCCTTCAAGCCAAATTTCTATATATATTTTGTTAAATATTGTAACCATCATTTTAGATTTTCATATTCAGATTGTTCTTTTATGGTTGTTAATTTGCTGATTGCCTCATTCAAAGTACTTGCTGAGTCATCAGCTGGAAAACCTTCTTGTAATTTCTCTCTTTCTTCAACACTGGTGGACTGTAAATTCAAAATTTTACGCATGAACATCTACCAGCATCATTTCAACAAACTACCGACTAGTTAGACAAAAATCAATCAACAATAGGACAAGTGATAAAACAGTTGTTTTCAATATATATATATATATATATACGCCGAAGATATTGGCTAGAGGTCACGCTATGTCATGAATTGGCAGAAGCTGGAATTCATGGGCCATTGGATTGAGTCCCAGGAGCGTACTCGCACAACTTTCTAACTTCGTTTATATAATTCCATTATTTGTCATCACTTGATTTGATTGGTAGTAGTATTTTCCATATTTCTGGTATTAATGATGAGTTATTCTTATTGCATGTGTTGGATGTAGATTCTATGAATGTATATATATATATATATATATATATATATATATGCACTTTTGTCATCTACAGTCATCCGAAGGCCTATCTAAGGCTTTCATTCATCCGAAAGCATAGAATTACTTGGTCTCCTAGTGTTCAGTTCACAGACATCCTCTGATGTCTGAAAACAGTATTAGTGAGTTTTGGTTCATGGTGTAAGCATCTGAAATCTGACTTCAGTGTGCTTACCAAAATCCCCTCTATTGTAGCACATCATGAATGAAATATATATTTAGAAAGAGAGAGAGGAAGAAAGAAAGGTGAAAGGGTAAACCTACCACGACATTCATCGTAATATTTGATAGCAGAATTTTCATTGGCCCTATGATTACTGAACTGTTCACCACCACATCTTGAATCACCTGATCGACAGTAACATTGATTTCTCCATAGGTCACATTCATGTCTGTAGGTTACTCCGTCTACGCACAACTAATTAAATAAGTTAGAAAACAGGCAAATTTATGAGTTTACTTATGATTGTGATGTTAATTTATGATGAAATTCCTCGAAGCATGAAATAAGAACAATATACCTTCCCGATAGATTAAGCAAAACGGAAGGATACAAACACACTGAACGTAAGATACCAAACAACATTACGTTCCATCACCCCCCGCACCCACTCCTGACTCCACTGATGATCAGATGCTTTTTATTTACTGACTAAACTGTGGCATCCGGCTAGGCTATGCTCTGAGTTCCGTTTTTCTATTTGATACTATTTATAAGGTTGAAATGCAAGCGTCAGAATAATATATATATAGACATATTAAAGGTTCGTTCGTACATGATGAGTTAATCGGAACCTGACTGGTGATTTTTTTTTACAGAAATTTCAGTGAGAATCAGACACGTATTGAGCGTATTTATTTACCTCAATTCGAATTTCCTGTTGGTTGATGTATACTGAGCTGAAATACTTGGTTCTTTATTGATATGTCCACTTCTAGTACGGATATATCCGATGGTTGATAGTGGCTAGCAGAGGAATATACAATATGATTTTCGTCAGCTGGGATGAGAATCCACAACCCACCTTTCAAGTTTCAGTCGACAAAGCACCATCATGTACATATAGATAGTATGGGTGTTCCTTCAGTGTAGCAGACTCAGTGAAGGGGTTATTTCCAATGAACAAACACGTAGTTGATTATCCCCCTCCCACTTGTACTTTGCAGTTTTTAGAGCAAAAAATAATCTCAAGTAATGGTGACATCTTTAAACACTCTACTGTACAGTTGTTCTTTTTTGTCTTGGATTCAGAAATCTATCTGAGAGGGGTGAGAAATCACTTAAAGTCGAGTGTTCACCAACAGTTGTCCAACAAAATTCTATTTTAAGATTTTTAGAAATATGAAAATAGTTTCTGGTTTCTTCTCTTTCTCTAAGGTATCTCGAAGTGGATACACTATCCATGTCGTAAGACAAAGCCACTGAATACGCTGAACTTTCATTCAGACAGATGATGGAAAGTTTATTAAAGGCTTTCTATCATCTCGTTCACTAACTCACTCATTTAATTAAATAACCCACTTACCTGTCTATTGTAACTGTTCCACTCAGATGGACAATCATCAAGGCAGCTGCATTTACCATCTGTGCACATTTCACCCGGTTTACATTTCACATTTTCACATGCATCTGAAATCCATCATTTAATATAAATCAATCAATAAATCAATCGGTTGATGCATTATTTCTAAGCAGTAAAAAAAATAATCAATACTACGGCTGCTTAACCTTTTGTATATTTATTTAAATTTTACTCACTGAATTTCACACGCATGAAGTTCTCAAAAAAGGAGAATAAAATCTCAGTTGCTTTTATAATATTCATATATGAAGTAGTAACCGGAATAAAATAAATCGATCAATAGAGCCAATACTGAAGATTCATTTCGCAAAGATATTACTCGAGATTCTGAAATCTCACCAGTTGCACCAGTAATAATATTTCATTTCAAATGAGTGGTTTTAACTCTGTTCAAGTAAATCAAACTGTTGAGTTGATGAAAGTTCAGATGCATATACAAATCAGTAAACGAGCATCCCTTGTCAGTTTAGCCACCTACTGCAGAAGTCAACTGAACTCTGCGTAACATTCTCATTGTATTCTTTGCAGGACCGATGAAAATCAAGAGGCTCTGGATATATCCTTCATCCTAGATTATAGCTTTTCAATATGTATCATGGAAGTACTAGTAAGGACAGTTTTAGATTGAAGATAATGACATCGTCGTCTTGTCCAAATAATAGCCAATAATATCCGATTTCGGCAAATTCACTATCCCCTCCCATCTGAAGTGATCAGTGAGTGTGTATCTTCATTCCAGAAATCCAAATGTTCATGACTTTTTATTAAAACTCAACGAAATCTATCTTAAGCCTAGTGTAAACTCGTGATGCAATTAAACTGAAAGTTTCACTTCACAAACACAGATTCAGAAGTCATGTAAGCATCACTAAAGGTACCAGGAATTTCAAAAGTTTCAGGTTAAACTCCGAAATCGCCATCTCTGTGAAAAATTAGCAAAACTGGAGACTGATTTACAACATTCTGAAGTCATATATTCTGAGTTAGTCTTCACCGAGAAGCGTTGCAAGTATAAGATAAACACCAGATAATGACCGAAAATGTCATAAAATATGAATTTGAAAAATAACTGTTACTTAATATTAATTTGCTAAATTGTCTCATTTAACCTACCTACATCCGATTCGTCGTCAGGTTTATTCTGAGAGAAAAAAAAATGAAACAAATAAACATTGGGTGAATATAAAAAGTGTCCATCTCTGACTATTCACATCCCAAAGTATTTGCGGGTCTTTCAATATATACCAATAAAATTTAATCATATGATCCTATTTGGGTTTATGAGAGATAAGACGATTTATTTTACAGAAACTACTTGCGATGACAACCAGTTTCAATACAAGATATAAGAATAAAACTTGTGCGCCGTGGTGGAGTATAATTCCATTATGGGTAAAATTTATTTTGATAAAGTCTTATAGTGTCATACAGTAATATTTACTAATGATGTTTCGAGCACAATTTATTGCTCATAATCATATCAAGATACTCACACAACTTTCTAACTTCGTTTACATATAATTCCATTTATTTTCCATCGCTTGATTTGATTGGTAGCAGTATTTTCCATATTTCCGGTACGAGTGATGAGTCATTCCTATTGCATGTGTTGGCTGTAGACTCGATGAACAAGGATTCAGTAATCAACCTCTCTCTCCAACTACCTAGATTACTTTTTAGAATTTTATCATTTATGATTATGTTTGTAAAAGGTTGTCTATTTACAAATAGTATATACGATTGCCGATTGTTCCATTTATCCTCCTTTGAAAATATCCAAAATTTTGAATAAACTGTTTATCAAAGATGTTTAAACGAATACCAGGTTTAAATGGTTGCTGTTGTGCATAGAATTTAGTTAGCAATCTTTTAAGAATTTCAACGTTAAGATAAGTGAAAAAGTTTTGGTATACAGAACACAGCATTCTGTAACTGAAGGTAAATCAGTAGGTAATCCGCTCTCGAAACTAGACTTTTAGATAACATCAGCAGCATGTGTGACCGATTCTGTGGAAAGTGATGTCTTTGTATTCCATGAGATTTAAACCATGCAATACTACAGCATGTTTGTAAGAGGTGCCAAATATCACTGGTTGACATGCTCCAAAGAGTAAGAAATCTAAGTCAGAATAGCATTCTCAGTGTGTAAGATGATGTTTCACGGTGTTTCTTTTGTTCATTTTACTTAATAATTACTTAATTTACTTAATAATAATAATAGGCAAGTTGGTCGTCCAAAGGTGACTTGGAGGAGGTCTTGTGAAGAGGAGATTAAAACATGTGGACAGACTTGGAGCCAGGTGAAAACTCTAGCAGAGAACCGAACGCAATGGAGACGCACGGCTGAAGCCCTATGTTCCTCTAGAAATTAAAGGAAACAATAATAAATAATAATACTTAATAATTGTATTGTTCATGTGCCAGAAATTTTTGAGAACACATTGGCTTATCAGTTATTACTTTTCAATCAGTTAAATGTAAATCTGTAACTGTCGCTTCAGTTTCACTGATCTCTGCGTAAATTTGAACTAACCTTATTCACCTTTAATGGAATCTGTGTTTGTGAAATGCTTGTGAACAATTGATTGTACTGCAGATAGGAGGTATATGGTATATGTATAAATGATTTTTGAACTTTGGAATGATTTCACTTGAACCTCATCATGTTTACATGCATGTGTGTAAGCATCTTATCCACGTGGCGATCATCATTTGGCTGTACAGTACCATTCTGCGTATAAGTGAAATCTACAGCTTAATTGTAATCCAACTAGGCAACCAGATAGTAACTTAGAGTTAGTTAGTCAGCTTCGCAAATATAACCCAACAAGTTCAGAAAACACAACTAATTCCAAATCATCCACCTGAGCAACACATCTTCTCTATTATCTCAGATAGTAACTTAGCCAGATAAAAATCTTAGTTAGCACAGGGCATTCTACAAAGCCTGGTCACTATTGTTTAGATTGAAGTTAACTGTCGTTCTAAAGGGCTCTCAATTGTCTCTTTATGACTAAAATTCAAACGTTCAGCGTATTATCAATGAGTCAAAGTCTCGGTCTACTGAAAAGTAGTAGTCAACCCAGCGGTGAACATTTGCTATCTTACTGTGTACATAGTACACACATACATACACCCAGTAGGTAAACATATATACGTATTTAATAGTAGTCGAGTCTCTAGGTTTACAACCTTTGTTTTAGTATGATTGTAGCAATACAAATAACATTCACGCTTAGGTAAATGTAATTTATACACATTAAGCTGATTTGGGCCTGAATGAACTTCTGTAAGAATACATCTGTACTAACACTATTTAGCACTGATGAATATATGTAAGACTAGGTGTAACTCTCTTCTTTTTGTTTAAATAGCAAAGATGACTTACTGTTCAAAGACGAAAAGCAGCAATATGTTCAGAAATAGAATCTTACTGATTAGACTCAACTGAGTTATCATGCTGTGTCGTGAAATGAGTTAGAACACGTGATGTTTTGCACTGAATTAAAACTGTTGAATATATGTGAAGAGTAATTAAATCTCTGTCAAGTGCCCATCCCTTTTTTTTACTCATATGTTTTAATGTCCACTAAGGCATAATTGCTGAAGAAACTCCATTCTGTGTAAAAGTGGAAAGATAAAGTGAATCCAGAGGCCAAAAATAAGCATGCCATCCGAAGTCAGCGTACTTACTCCCACCTGAAGACAATAATCTCCGCAACCAAATACGACGTTACGAACTTAAACATAGTACGTTTCACCTTCTCATTGCATGATATCGGTTATAAAAAAGAAGAAACTACTTATTGATTATTTGGGCCATTAGATTGGGTTCCAGTGGCTTAGTGGTCTACGAGCTCGCCTTGTAACCAGGTTCGAATCCAGGGGGGGCGTACTGATGACGAGTCTCAAACTAGGACGAAACAGCTGTCCAGTATTCCCAGGTTTTCCAATGGTTCTCTAACTAATGTCAGCTCATGATGAAAATCCTGTAACCAGTCAAATCTCTACAAACTAACACTTGAATATTGATTATTAATTTGGTATTATTTTTATACTAGTAAGTACTCAGCGGAAAATTATTACACTATTTGAAATGCTTTATAAAAAGTAAGTATTCGTTCAAACCTCCCGAAAAGTGAGACACTGTAATTAATACAAAATTCTTATTTCGAATGCAACAGTAAGTGTTTTCCGCATGACAACGAAACGAAATAGTACAGACCACTTTGCACTTTGTTTTCGATCCTCTGTCCTCCAAGTGAGAATCAGAGCTACAGATTTGAGATTTTAAGTTTCAGTGGTGGTGGTATTAATTTTACGAAATGGTAATGTTAGATTCACATTCAACTTTCCCTCTTCCATGGGTTTGCAGTCGACTAAGCAAGGTGGGAGTCAGCCGGAAATAGAATCCTGACTTTGTTTATATTTAGATGATATAAAAGACAAGACTAAGTTTACTTCTACCACGAGAATACTCATACTGTGGTTCAGACAAGTGTGGTGGTGTGATACAGACGGAATGTTATTCTCACATTTTCACACAGTTCAATTAGGCATTAACAACACAATACAATATATCCACTTGAACATTCTATTCGGTGTTAGAGTTGCAATGCTATTCCCACAGTTCAATACTGCATACAATATATCCACTTGAACATTCTATTCGGTGTTAGAGTTGCAATGCTATTCCCACAGTTCAATACTGCATACAATATATCCACTTGAACATTCTATTTGGTGTTAGAGACAGAATACATTTCCCACGGTTATATACTGCACTGGTAATAGAATACTATGTATATTTGAACGTTCTATTTCATGTCGTTTGATGTAAATCGAAGTCACAAGCTCAGTGATTGGTTAAAGAGTATAAGGTGTAGATATATGAACAGCAGTTTGATTAATGGAAAATATACCTTAACTTCCGTGTTTTGCCTTCTGTTGTTACACTAGTACTTTACTAAGTGTTAAACAAATTGGCATCGTATGTAATTAATAATCAGTATAAATTATTTGTTTTCCAGTGGATACTGTTCTCATTGTTAGTAAAGTAACCAGTAAAAGGATGGTAAAGCGAAAAATGAAACGCTGTCCCAGTGTTACTATTATTGTTCCCACTTGCTTCTGTATTCTGCTGTACTTTTCACCTGCATCTATGTTAATCCATACTGTTTCAACTCCTCTCCACACGATCTCCTCCATGTCACCCTTGGACGTCCCACTCACCACATGCTTTTCGGGTTCCACTCGAGCTATGGGCTGACGCGCGATGTCACCCAGTGGCCTCCTCAGCGAGTGTCCAATCCATCTCCACTTTCTCCTGCATATTTGTTGAGCGGTTGGTTCTTGTTTTGTTTGTTCTCATAGTTCCTTGTTGGTGATTCTTTCCGGCCATCTGATCTTCAGTATAGAGAGAGCGAAGACAGTTGTTGATAAAGGTCTGCAACAGGCTGTTGGAAATATTCTTTGTGACCCGCCAAGTTTCTGATCCGTATAGAAGAACTGACCTGACGTTTGTATTGAAAGTTCGAATTTTGTTGTTGATGCTGAGTGACAAAGATTTCTAGATTACTGGGACAAGATAAATTCTGACATTTTATTAAATCTAGTTACAGAAGGAGATATGGAACTAACTGCCTCAGGATAGGAGAGTGTTAGAAGTAACGAAGGTCACATGACGACTAGGTTTTGGAAAAAGGGTTGGAACATGACTGTTAATATGTCGGCTAGGTCATTAATACTTCCTGAAATAAACAAAACAACTTTATCTGAAACTTTGAAGTCTACAACAATAGAATTTAGTATATCGGAGAAACCTGATATCTTCCACACAGACTGAACTCGTAGTTGATGACGTTACGATTCAGTTTTACCGTATACTTTGATTATTTTAGACAATTAACTTTGCTGTTATTCAATCCACTGCTTAGCATTTGAAATGTATAAGCCAGATTGCCGTAAATATACATAAATACGTGTCCAATATCGAGTCATTTATAAGGATAAATGAGCCAGCAAATTTACTTTACCAGTTAGACAGATAAGCCTATAAACTAGACAATTTACATGGAACTAATTTAATTCTGACTAGATTTCAAAGGTTAGGAATCAAAACAGTATAAACCCACAAAGTGT